TTCCCTACTTCTGCTTTTCTCAGTCCTAGAAAGATCTGTTCTGACTAATCAATGATTTAAGGCCCTCTGAAACATTACAAATGCTCTATTTTTGTAACATTTATGCCTAATTGTGCAGCTATGAGAGGTTTATTAGCAGCGACAGAAGAGTGAGTTGTGCCAGCATGAACAGCTAAAGCTTGAAGTAACACCTGGGTTTTGACCAATACAGGCATGGCAGTGCCATTCAGCAGGCTGGAGAAGAGACAGCCACTCCCAACCTCTTTCTATGTACAGTTGTGGGGAGAGTTTCTCCCTCACCCCACACAAACATTGCCAGTTGGGCATCAGGCACAAGATGGAGTTCTTCGGATGGATTAATTGTAACAAATACATAAGCAAAGGAAGTTTGAATTTTCCTTTATAAAGCTTTTCAATTTTTAGTCAAAGGTGGTCACGAAGTTGAAAACAGTGTGGTTTTGTTTCCATCCTCAGGTATCATAAAAAGCAAAAAATGTGCAGTAGTAGAGGCCAGCTGTGAGTCAAACACATGCCCTTGAAGAGGTAGAAGTATCAGGGATTTTTCAGGAAACGTGAAGAGAGAAAGCAAGAGAAAGGGAGAAAATATTTTCCCTCAAACTGATGTTTCTACTAGCTGTCCTTGATGATGCTCCAGGCAACTTCATTTAGCCTTCGGCTGCTGCCTTGCCGAGCAGCCTTTGATGTTGCCCCAGGCAATTATCATCTAGCCTTTGGCTTCTGCTTGGTTGGACACCTTTTGTTGCCATTTCTGATTTGTGTGATCAGATCTAATCAGTTTCACATACATACAACTCTTTTTGTCCATCTGGACAATTATGTAAATCTTTGACATAATCTTAGGCTTAGTCTTTTTATTTTTAATTCACTTCAATGATTTTATGTTCCTTCCTCTCTAGAACAGACTCAGAAAATCCCATTCTTCCTGCCCAGTGGAATGTCTCATCTGCTTTGATTTTTCTACTCCTTTTTTGAGCGGGGAGGAGAAATACGCTTTCTTTGTATTTATCTCATTTTATACTCAAAACGTTGAGTGCACGTCTGCCAGAGCCAGATATTCCATGCCCTTCTGCTCAAGGCAATATATCCTGGCCTTATCAAGCAGGGATGTAAGAGATTTAGAATAAGATGGCTGCTAAAGCTGTGAACTCCTGCCTATTACTCCTGCATTAATAGAAAGAGTAGAAAAAAGCTGACATCAGATTTCTTCTTTACCCATGATACTTCAACTTGTTTCTTCCTTGCCTAGGAAAAAGCTGAATTTAGATTAGACTGCAGCAGTTGAGGTGTTGTCATTTCAACTAATTTGGAGAGCGGGAGAGGAATGTTTCACCAACTGAATGTTAGATTTTTCCTCATTGCTACTGTCCATTTTTGATCCTGGCTTTTCATATACATTCCTTTTGATCACATCTTGTGACTTTTCAAAGTGATAGGCCAACTTCAAAGAACAATAATATCTAAACATCAAAAGGTCACCCTAATTTTAACCTTAAACAAACTGTATTGCATACACAAATCAATCTTCAAATTTCTTTATTTTTTATTTACTGCACCACAGAACAGAAGTCGCTGTAATGAATGTTAATTCTGCAGACAAACTAACTGCAGACATTTGGAGCCACTCTAGCAGTAGGGTGCTCTTATCTAGTCAACGAACTGGAAGGCCTCATCTAATGCCTGCAGGCTGTAGACCCCAAACCACACCACTACTTTAAAGATACATCCTGTGTTTTGGGAAGCTTACACAAGAAAATTACAACATAGTTATGCAAACAATGATTACCATTAAGTAAAAAAGTATGAAGTACTCTCGCTAGACATAGTTTTTTAAAGGAAAGGTTAGTGGAAAGAAACCAGGAAACTTTTCCATTTTAACTTCCAGAACTCCTTGCTCAGCACACTCCCGGTTCATACATCTGTGCTCAACAATGGCACCATGCGGGCACCAGAGCCGGGTGCTGCCATCAGCACCACTCTACAGGCCAGGCAGCAATGTTTGGACTGTATTTCACAAGAATGTCTAAATACCTCTAAGCAAGCAGCTTTCCCTTGCTCGTTAGTAAACACACTAACGTGAAAGTCTAAATGGTGCAGAGTCACAGAGACACTTTGGTTGGAAGGGACCTTTTGAGATCATCTAGTCCAAATCCTCTGGCTCAAGCAGGGTCAGCAAGAGCAGGCTGTCCAGGACTGTGTCTGGCTGGGTTTTGAGTATCCCCACAGATGGAGACTCCACAACCTCTCTGAGCAACCCACTCCTGCATACAGCTGGACTGTGTTACATCATCTGCACTCTCCCATCTTACAGACATGAGATCACGCAACATGACTAGAGGTGGGGGGCGGAATCACCCAGGCTGCATGGCATTTGTTCTCAGCCATCCTCCACAGCACAGCGTGAAAAATCTCATCTTCCAGCGTGATGAAGCAGGCCACACCTGCTTTACTAACATCGCTCCACAAGTGAAGACTGGTGGTTTGTTTGGGTTTCTTTCCTTTCTGAATAATCTCATTCAGGGAGAAACAAAACTATCATCAATGCAAAACCAAAAGGCAAATGCAAACCCTAAAGTCCCAAGTTTAATAGCACTGACTTTTCAGAGCATAAAAATAACACAAGATGACTAAGAACTCAAAAAAAGATAACTTACTGGTAAGATCAAATAGCCTGGGGTGACCAGTGTTTTAGCAAAAAGCCAGCCAAGTTCTGCGGTTAATATCTGATCATAAACTATGTAAAGGAAGGCACTGCAGCACCATTGCACATGCCCCAAAGCTTTCTAACAATACACTGCAACTATTTCATAACACTGCAACCCTGACATCTTACAGCTTTTGTATTAATGCTAATGAACGTTTAACTTTAAAATGACAGGAAGGTTAAGCAGTATACATTTTCATGAGGCTAACAGTCTTGTGAACACACAAAAGCTATCGCAGAGGTCTGGATGGTTTGCGCCATACTATACTGGCATTTAACTTTCAGATTTGGCTGGAAAACACTTGCTCAGTATTGATGCTTGGGACGTAAGCCTAACAGTGGTTCTCAAAGAAATACCTACACACTGGAATAAGCTTCATCATTTTAAAATTAAAATTACTCTTTTTTGGACTCTGATAACAGAATGTGGTACCTTTTCGCTGGAATATTTTCATGTTTTTATCATCATCTGACCACACTGTAATTTGAAATCAGTCTTGTGTCTTTAAAAAATGTACAACTCTTTTCCACAAAAATCACAGCTACCTCTAGAAGTAGCAAGCACGTTTTGCCAAACATCTCTGGGAATAGCACGCTGTCAGAAAAAGATATCTTTTGGGCTGAGGCCACGTCTGCCCCATCCCGAACAGCTGAGCTGGGTTAGCAGGTTCAAAACTTACATCACCATCAAAACTCAGAATCCTTAAAAAAAACCCACAAAACAAGAACAAAATCCCCCAAACCCACACCTAGTAACAAACCCTTCTACAGATACTAGCTCAGATCCTCAGTCTCACGGTGAAACACCAAATATCTACAGCATGTTAATACCCGACAGCCTTAGTACAAACTCCCCTTGCCCTGTTAGAACTTGTTTGGTTCTGATCAGATCTTCACCATCACCATGATAATTTCATAAGCTGTTAGAGAACAGAAAATAAGGTCATGTTTCTGTAGCTCTTTTCCTCCTAAATGAAATAATGTTTGTAAAACTTGTGCTGTTAAAATGAGTCTTCCTACAGTTTTCTCTCCCCCTGCTTGAATATTGTTTATTTCCACCCATACATTGATTCATAGCCCCAGCAGTTTCTATAAATTACCTCTCCTCTAGAATATTATGATGGTGTCCTATAATTACTACATCACTACTAACTAGAGTTACCAACAGTACAGTGCACTGAGTTGGGTAAATCATTACCTACCCACGCTTACGTGTCACAAACTTGCTGGGAAAGAAATAAATTACAGATCAATACTACTGGAACCGGAATGATCCATCCCACTTAATTAGAACTACCATATTTCAGTACATTTCAGACAATAGTTAAAAAGATTCAGTGAATACTTGCATGAAAAAGTCGAACCCTTAAATAAATAAAGCCGGTCCCTAAACTACCACTCCACAGAGACAGTTTTTTTTAATGCACAATCATAAAATAACTTAGTACTAACACCATCAGCAACAGCTGAATTTCAAAACAATAGCTCCTTACATAGCCAGTATGAATCACTAAAGTTTCTCAGCCTTGCATGAACAGACTGCGTTGACTAGCTAAGAAATTGTGGTTAGATTCCTAGAAGATGGTTTAGCTCAAATGTCTTCTCAAGGTATCTCTGTGTCAAGTTTATCCCGCATTCGGGGAAAATTTTAGAAGCCTAGACTAGTTAAAAGGCTTGACTGGAGCAGGTATGCACCCACTAGCCACCCAGTATCAAACTAAATCTTACCATGGGAAGCTGTGACAAGTCAAGCAAGAGACTGATGCTATAAAGCAAAATAAAGTTAGAAAAAAACCACACACACACCGACATTTATTTATTCACTGAAGTTGTTAGTGGAAGAACGGATCTTTCCCTTAGTCCAGGATTAATCTATGTGATGTATCTATTGTCATCCTAGCCTCACAATTAACCCAAACAAGCTTTGGGTGAGGTTATCAGCCCAAACAGAGAGGTTACTACAGAGAACTGGAACCTCGCCCAGAGGAAGGACTTTGTGAGAGAGCTGGGCTGGTGCTTCCAACAAGGGCCCAAGACACTGGTCCTGTTTTACAGTGTCACCGCCTGACCAGAAGCTCTGCAGCAGCAGCCAACAGCCTCCCTCTTGCAAAGGAAGGAAAGACTCCTATGGCATTCTGCCGTCTCGTCTCTTAAACGTGCTGCCCTTCCTCAGCGCAAATGGCCTGTATCTGCCAAGATTCATTTTATGAACTGAACTACCACCTCCAGAATGGCCCTTGGGAGTGGATTTAGTTTTAATTTGCCTGGAGGATGTCATTTGCTGCTTGTTGCATGCAGCAAGGGGCTGACAGGAGCGTTGTTTTGTTTCAGTTTTTTTCAGAGCAGTCAAAAGGGTGAAATTGCACATGCTACCTAATTAAAGAAACCAAACATACAAATGAATCGCTATTTCTGTCTTGCATGCTACTGGTGTATCAGCCTAGAAGATGCACTTTTTTTAAAAACAAAAAAAACAATTTTATGTCCCTTTGAGAAGCTCCACAGAGTAATACAATCAACCATTTTAGGACCCTGGCAGGTCTATCCAAATCTATTACTATCACACCAGATACAGAGCTTTCTTAACAGAAGAAATATTTAAATCTACCAAAGTATTTAAAAAAAAATTCATACTAAAGAGAATACTTTGATTTGCCTGTAGCCACACAGGGACAAGCAGTGTGCGTGGCCACAAAAAAAAGTCCTAGAAACACAGCTTTTTATTTAGCTTTTTGCTGCTCAAAAATATAGCAGGAACTTTTGGAAAATAATCCCTCTTCAGGAAAGCAACTTTACACATTCTGCATAAATAATCAAAGTACTTCAAAGATAATCAAAGAGTACTGAAACGTTTTCCCTTAATGGAAAAGCATTTAAGATATAGGGGAGGGGAGGGGGTGATTTTGTTTGGTGTTTTTTTTTAACACTAACCGCGCAGATCTAGAGGTGCAACAACATGCAAGCCTCCCCTACCACTCACACAGCTGCGCAAAACTCAGCTGAGAAGATAAAAACTGGACTCGAGTGTTTGCATCTCAGCCTGTGTTTGTGACCGAGAATGGAAGAAATATATTTTTGGCAATAATTACAGCTTCTGTGCTCCTTCATCCTCCTAATCACCGATGATGAGTTTCTGGGGAACTATTTGACTTCCCCAGCAGTCTGAGCTCCAGACTGAACGTGCTGACGAGCAATGGAAAACACTGAAGCTGTGGCAGCTGGAGGCTGCCTGCAGAAACGTGGCTGTGAACGCAAGTGTATTGTGAAACACGCTTTGCATTTTTCAAACTTGATGTTAGATCTATCACTCACCCATTTTCCTATAACAAACCCCCAAATTTTTTTTTCCACTTTGCAACTGATCCAGCAGGACTATGAAAAGACAAAAAATTGAATAGATTAACGAAGAAAAAAGAAACAAAGAAATAAAAAGCAGCAATAATCATACACTGCGCAAGGAATAGGAGAAACAGTAAAGGGCATGTGTTACCCCAGAAGTAGCACTGTTTTCTTTCAAGTAATGTTTCTGGATAGTATTTACGCACCTCCCCATCGTATTGCAAGAGTAGCAAGAGAAGAGAACACGCTACCCCCCATACCCCTGCGGTGTTTTGCGATCACATTGCTTTGTTTAAATGAATCCGTGTCCTGCAGGAAAGGCACAGGAGTGCACTGACGTGTCCCCATGGTGTTTCCTGAACCCTTCCTTGAAATGTGCTGAAATTTAATGACTTAAATTTGCTCACAAGTATCATCAGAGGCATTCTAGGATGGGGTTTCAATACACTTACTGTCCTTTCAAGATACTGAACAGAAATACCTCAACAAAGAATTGCAGAAGAGAAAAAAAGGTGTAATAGTGCATAACGGTTTTGCATGAAGTGAGATCAATGCTGAGGAGAATCACCAACTGCAGTGCTTCACGTGGACAGACCCCTCAGAGGGCCAGGGCCAAACCCAAACCCGACTCTGGAGTTAGCAGCACTACCAAGGCAGCCACAAACTGTTCCAGCCAGCCCCAGACCCGGCAAGAGACAGGCACAGGGTGAGCCCTATCGCCACCCCCGGTCACTCCAGCTGCAGTCAAGGGGAAGCCGGGACCCAGGAACAATTGGAGGGAGCATGACATGAGATTTGTGCCTGGGACAACACTTCCTCCAGAGAGGAGGGTTATTTGCAGACAGTGGGTTCTGAAAGGTCGCGTATTTGGGCTGGGTCCAGTCTGTTTCCTGAGAACACCTAAAACTCAGCAAAGGCCAAGCCCCTTTTGTGCTTGACACAGCACGTACTTGCTGAGCGTACTCTTCACCCTCAAGGTCTGACGCTGAAGTAGACAATGTAGCCAAGGTTTTGGAGGGGAAGAACGGTACCTTGAGATGAAAAAAAGTTTGGAAGATGAAAAGTTAAGACTAGAGCAAGGAATTAAGGTTAATTCTTACAGTTCCTAAGACACAACGCTATACCAGCAAAGGAAAACTCTCCTTGCCTGCCAGCCTCTCCACGCCAACGCCACACGAGGCTTGCTGCTTATCACAACCCACGACACCCACTGCGTCACCTACACGCCGCATTCCCCTCTCCACAAACTCCACCAGGTCCAGCCTGATGTTGACCGCACCGTTTCACGATCCCGCTTGGCGCCCCCGGGCCGGGGCGCCCCCGGGCGTTCCCCCCCTCACGCCA